TATAGCATACATTTCCCGATCACTTGGGAAACACGGCGTCAGCGATGAGAACAAGCGCTTCAACTCCCAATGCATTTTATTGTGAGTCTAATTGGTCTGTAGTTCGTTGCAGCACATCTTTCTTAATGTGGCATGTGAAAAAACGCAGCTCTTAGGAAACTCCAACTTCTCTCTTTACAGAATCTCGGCATCTCTTTTAATGTTTTTCTTCTTCCAACGCGAATCAAAGGTAGAAATTTAGGATTTTTCGGAAGGAAACGTCGCGCCGCACATAAAATTCTCATCTGAAAACTTTTCTGGCAGAAAAAAAAACATCAAACCCAATATTCTTGTGAACGTTTCGCTGGGCGAACTGCGGCCAAAATGAGCAGTTTAGCAAACAAAAACATTTCAAAATTAATCGCTTAAGCTTCCAACCTCTCGGTTATATCGGCTAACCGGCTCATATATACAAGCTGTGGTAAGTGTACCATGGAAAGCTGTGTTGGGCGGTGCCCCGGTAGCGTAACTGGTAGCGCACTTGCCCGGTAAGCGAGAGGTGCGGGTTCTAGTCCCGCCTGGGGCGAAAGTTTTGTTCACAACCCAGTACTCTTGTGATTAAAGCAGCACTAGGAATTTGTCGTTGTTTTTAATGACTATGCGTTGGAGCGCTGTGAGATGTATAGTTTCGGGGTAACAATGGACCGGTAAGTATGCCCGTGTTGACGCACGGCGCTTGGTCGTTGAAGAGATAAACGATTGCGAGTCTTTTGTTAGTTCGGGGATCTAGTGTGATGGGCTGCTGAGACCAAAGACTGTTTTGCGGCTCCCTGCGATAAGTATGATTGAAGATCCATACTGCTGCGTTTTGCTTACGTCTATCGTAGGGAAGTATTCCTTCGATAGACAGCTGCTTTGCTTCGGGGGCTGCATGGCTAATGACGAACGTCCGGAAATTGAAAAGTACACCTTTGTGAAGATCTTAACAAATAATGTGGCTCTGCACGTGCTTCTGCTGGACCGGAAACTGGCAGATTTGTCAACATAAGTGGATCGCATGCCTCCTTACGAACTGCATCAGTACTTTTTCCCACTGACACACGGCATCTAGCAACCTTTTTTCGCACTTCTACATGTCAGCTCAGCTCGCAGTAATGACTAATGTGTGGAAAGAGTACGAGGTGCTGCTGCGACTTGCTTGCAATGCAGGTTAGTGTCCAAACCATTGCCATATGAGCTCACAATGTCCTTCGGTTTTGTTTCATTCATTTGGAAATCAGACTCACACTTTGATTGAGCGGTATGCCTTCGAATGGTCTTGAATGTGTTTGCTTAGCACTGTGTTTTTGGATATAATATCCATGAAATGATCCTAATGGTACAAATGATGTTTAGGAGTGACGTTATCCATAGCGCTATTCGCCTAAGTAGAGTCATCAAAGCTGAAAAAGAGTAATCTACTGAGCAATTTGTCTGATTGATCAAAAAATTAATTTCTTTTCCATCCGTATGGTAGCTCCTTTTCCTTATGCGTTAAGATTTATTTGGTTGATGCATAATTATTTCGGATTTTTTCGCGTCTTCTTTTTTTCGAAAAGATTGGCGTTTTGTTTATTATTTTTCATGAAATATTCTTCTCTCTTTCATTAACAGAAATGCTTATCGAAAATCATCTTCATATTCGCCATATATGCTCTACCACTTCGAGAAAGGTTGGAAGGCGGCTCGTCTCTCTGCCCCTGTATATTGCGATAGCTCCTTATTTAGCGCACCTGCACGTCCAGCAAGTAAATTAATAGTTAAGAACTAAAAGAATACATGTCAAAAAATTCTACTCTGTGTAAATATAAACAGGTTTTAGATGTTCCTTGTTGCCCAAATAGTTCTTGACTTTTTTACTTTAGAGTTATGGTACATAAATTGATGAACTAAAAGTCTAGCCATTCATCATTCGTATCTAATTTCATATTTTCAGAAGGTCGTGTACT